TGACAGACAAGAGCGCTACGCTTGTGTCCCATGTACAAGAGCCAGAGAGCCAGAGAGAGAGAGAGAGCAGAGGGCCAAGACACCCGTCACCGCCCCAGGGACACTCCAGGGTCTACCAGCCTACAAATATCGTCACCTCAGACACAGTTTTGTCATAATGTGTGATAAAGTATATTACTGCACTTGGTTTTTTTTTATTTACGTTGACATTTAAGAGTCAATAATCGTACTTGACCCTAACACCAGGGCTGACCCTAACACCAGGGCTGACCCTAACACCAGGGCTGACCCTAACACCAGGGCTGACCCTAACACCAGGGCTGACCCTAACACCAGGGCTGACCCTAACACCAGGGCTGACCCTAACACCAGGGCTGACCCTAACACCAGGGCTGACCCTAACACCAGGGCTGACCCTAACACCAGGGCTGACCCTAACACCAGGGCTGACCCTAACACCAGGGCTGACCCTAACACGAGGGCTGACCCTAACACCAGGGCTGACCCTAACACCAGGGCTGACCCTAACACCAGGGCTGACCCTAACACCAGGGCTGACCCTAACACCAGGGCTGACCCTAACACCAGGGCTGACCCTAACACCAGGGCTGACCCTAACACCAGGGCTGACCCTAACACCAGGGCTGACCCTAACACCAGGGCTGACCCTAACACCAGGGCTGACCCTAACACCAGGGCTGACCCTAACACCAGGGCTGACCCTAACACCAGGGCTGACCCTAACACCAGGGCTGACCCTAACACCAGGGCTGACCCTAACACCAGGGCTGACCCTAACACCAGGGCTGACCCTAACACCAGGGCTGACCCTAACACCAGGGCTGAAGCTAACACCAGGGCTGAAGCTAACACCAGGGCTGACCCTAACACCAGGGCTGACCCTAACACCAGGGCTGACCCTAACACCAGGGCTGACCCTAACACCAGGGCTGACCCTAACACCAGGGCTGAAGCTAACACCAGGGCTGAAGCTAACACCAGGGCTGAAGCTAATCTCACATTTAACGTTGTAATTCATGGGTTAACCATTGTGTCTGTGTTAAATACAGCATACACGATGGTGTATCCCAACCTGTCGTCCAAGAATGATACCCAATACCACTAAGGTTTCACAAACAAACAAAAATGGTCTGATTGTAGCCAAACAGTCGTCTTTACTACTGATTGTGCCCACGAGCAGGACAACAACAGATTAAAATTTCTTAGGCTTAGTATTTCACATACATGTACCAAGGTATACCTTGAGGTTATCTTAAGGTGATTAGCGTCCCCGCGGCCCGGTCCTCGACCAGGCCTCCACCCCAAGGAAGCAGCACGTAGCAGCTGTCTAACTCCCAGGTACCTATTTACTGCTAAGTAACAGGGGAATCAGGGTGAAAGAAACATTTTGCCCATTTGTCTCTGCCACCAGCGGGGATCGAACCCGGAACCTCAGGACTACGAATCCGAAGCGCTGTCCACCCAACTGTTAGGCGCGCTTAAGTAGGCCTAAGATGACACATATATGACCAAGGTTTAAGCCTAGGAGAGACAAGGTTGAGTTAGTGTTACACTGTGGGTCAAGACAGTATTACACTGTGGGTCAAGACAGTGTTACACTGTGGGTCAAGACAGTGTTACACTGTGGGTCAAGACAGTGTTACACTGTGGGTCAAGACAGTGTTACACTGTGGGTCAAGACAGTGTTACACTGTGGGTCAAGACAGTGTTACACTGTGGGTCAAGACAGTGTTACACTGTGGGTCAAGACAGTGTTACACTGTGGGTCAAGACAGTGTTGTACTGTGGGTCAAGACAGTGTTACACTGTGGGTCAAGACAGTGTTACACTGTGGGTCAAGACAGTGTTGCTGTATGGGTCAAGACAGTGTTACACTGTGGGTCAAGACAGTGTTGCACTGTGGGTCAAGACAGTGTTGTACTGTGGGTCAAGACAGTGTTACACTGTGGGTCAAGACAGTGTTACACTGTGGGTCAAGACAGTGTTGCTGTATGGGTCAAGACAGTGTTACACTGTGGGTCAAGACAGTGTTGCACTGTGGGTCAAGACAGTGTTGTACTGTGGGTCAAGACAGTGTTACACTGTGGGTCAAGACAGTGTTACACTGTGGGTCAAGACAGTGTTGCTGTATGGGTCAAGACAGTGTTACACTGTGGGTCAAGACAGTGTTGCACTGTGGGTCAAGACAGTGTTGCACTGTGGGTCAAGACAGTGTTGTACTGTGGGTCAAGACAGTGTTACACTGTGGGTCAAGACAGTGTTACACTGTGGGTCAAGACAGTGTTGCTGTATGGGTCAAGACAGTGTTACACTGTGGGTCAAGACAGTGTTACACTGTGGGTCAAGACAGTGTTACACTGTGGGTCAAGACAGTGTTGTACTGTGGGTCAAGACAGTGTTGCTGTATGGGTCAAGACAGTGTTACACTGTGGGTCAAGACAGTGTTACACTGTGGGTCAAGACAGTGTTGCTGTATGGGTCAAGACAGTGTTACACTGTGGGTCAAGACAGTGTTACACTGTGGGTCAAGACAGTGTTGTACTGTGGGTCAAGACAGTGTTGCTGTATGGGTCAAGACAGTGTTACACTGTGGGTCAAGACAGTGTTGCACTGTGGGTCAAGACAGTGTTGCTGTATGGGTCAAGACAGTGTTACACTGTGGGTCAAGACAGTGTTACACTGTGGGTCAAGACAGTGTTACACTGTGGGTCAAGACAGTGTTGTACTGTGGGTCAAGACAGTGTTACACTGTGGGTCAAGACAGTGTTACACTGTGGGTCAAGACAGTGTTGCTGTATGGGTCAAGACAGTGTTACACTGTGGGTCAAGACAGTGTTGCTGTATGGGTCAAGACAGTGTTGCACTGTGGGTCAAGACAGTGTTACACTGTGGGTCAAGACAGTGTTGCTGTATGGGTCAAGACAGTGTTGTACTGTGGGTCAAGACAGTGTTGCTGTATGGGTCAAGACAGTGTTGTACTGTGGGTCAAGACAGTGTTGCTGTATGGGTCAAGACAGTGTTACACTGTGGGTCAAGACAGTGTTGCTGTATGGGTCAAGACAGTGTTGCACTGTGGGTCAAGACAGTGTTACACTGTGGGTCAAGACAGTGTTGCTGTATGGGTCAAGACAGTGTTGTACTGTGGGTCAAGACAGTGTTGTACTGTGGGTCAAGACAGTGTTACACTGTGGGTCAAGACAGTGTTGCACTGTGGGTCAAGACAGTGTTGTACTGTGGGTCAAGACAGTGTTGTACTGTGGGTCAAGACAGTGTTACACTGTGGGTCAAGACAGTGTTACACTGTGGGTCAAGACAGTGTTACACTGTGGGTCAAGACAGTGTTGCTGTATGGGTCAAGACAGTGTTACACTGTGGGTCAAGACAGTGTTGCACTGTGGGTCAAGACAGTGTTACACTGTGGGTCAAGACAGTGTTGTACTGTGGGTCAAGACAGTGTTGTACTGTGGGTCAAGACAGTGTTGTACTGTGGGTCAAGACAGTGTTACACTGTGGGTCAAGACAGTGTTACACTGTGGGTCAAGACAGTGTTACACTGTGGGTCAAGACAGTGTTGTACTGTGGGTCAAGACAGTGTTGTACTGTGGGTCAAGACAGTGTTACACTGTGGGTCAAGACAGTGTTACACTGTGGGTCAAGACAGTGTTACACTGTGGGTCAAGACAGTGTTGCACTGTGGGTCAAGACAGTGTTACACTGTGGGTCAAGACAGTGTTGCACTGTGGGTCAAGACAGTGTTACACTGTGGGTCAAGACAGTGTTGCTGTATGGGTCAAGACAGTGTTACACTGTGGGTCAAGACAGTGTTGCACTGTGGGTCAAGACAGTGTTACACTGTGGGTCAAGACAGTGTTACACTGTGGGTCAAGACAGTGTTGCTGTATGGGTCAAGACAGTGTTGTACTGTGGGTCAAGACAGTGTTGCTGTATGGGTCAAGACAGTGTTGTACTGTGGGTCAAGACAGTGTTGCTGTATGGGTCAAGACAGTGTTGTACTGTGGGTCAAGACAGTGTTGCTGTATGGGTCAAGACAGTGTTGCACTGTGGGTCAAGACAGTGTTGTACTGTGGGTCAAGACAGTGTTACACTGTGGGTCAAGACAGTGTTACACTGTGGGTCAAGACAGTGTTACACTGTGGGTCAAGACAGTGTTGCTGTATGGGTCAAGACAGTGTTACACTGTGGGTCAAGACAGTGTTGCACTGTGGGTCAAGACAGTGTTACACTGTGGGTCAAGACAGTGTTGTACTGTGGGTCAAGACAGTGTTGTACTGTGGGTCAAGACAGTGTTGTACTGTGGGTCAAGACAGTGTTACACTGTGGGTCAAGACAGTGTTACACTGTGGGTCAAGACAGTGTTACACTGTGGGTCAAGACAGTGTTGTACTGTGGGTCAAGACAGTGTTGTACTGTGGGTCAAGACAGTGTTACACTGTGGGTCAAGACAGTGTTACACTGTGGGTCAAGACAGTGTTACACTGTGGGTCAAGACAGTGTTGCTGTATGGGTCAAGACAGTGTTACACTGTGGGTCAAGACAGTGTTGCACTGTGGGTCAAGACAGTGTTACACTGTGGGTCAAGACAGTGTTGCACTGTGGGTCAAGACAGTGTTGTACTGTGGGTCAAGACAGTGTTGCACTGTGGGTCAAGACAGTGTTGCTGTATGGGTCAAGACAGTGTTGCTGTATGGGTCAAGACAGTGTTACACTGTGGGTCAAGACAGTGTTACACTGTGGGTCAAGACAGTGTTACACTGTGGGTCAAGACAGTGTTACACTGTGGGTCAAGACAGTGTTGCACTGTGGGTCAAGACAGTGTTGCACTGTGGGTCAAGACAGTGTTGCACTGTGGGTCAAGACAGTGTTGCTGTATGGGTCAAGACAGTGTTGCTGTATGGGTCAAGACAGTGTTGCACTATGGGTCAATACAGTGTTGTAACCAAGTGTTTCCTACCCCTCAGGACGGTCTGGGACGGGACGACTACCTGGGCGGGGGATCCTCCAGTCAGTCGGACTCCTCGTCGCCGCCCACGCCCACGGCCACGCCCACACCCACGGTCAGCCAGGCTGGCACTCACACGGCCGCCCATAACGCCGCCCTCAGCCAGGCCTTGCCAGTACAGCTGCCCCCAGGACTGGTCCTCACGCCCTCTGTTGCAGGTGGGTCCTTACACTGTGTTTACACTGTGTTTACACTGTGTTTACACTGTGTTTACACTGTGTTTACACTGTGTTTACACTGTGTTTACACTGTGTTTACACCGTGTTTATACCGTGTTTACACCGTGTTTACACCGTGTTTACACCGTGTTTATACTGTGTTTACACTGTGCTTAAATCATGAAGTAGTCATAGACATACACCATACCCACACAATACACACACCATACCCACACTGTACATACACCATACCCACACTGTACATACACCATACCCACACTGTACATACACCATACCCACACTATACCCACACAATACACACACCATACATACACCATACCCACACTGTACATACACCATACCCACACTGTACATACACCATACCCACACTATACCCACACAATACACACACCATACATACACCATACCCACACTGTACATACACCATACCCACACTATTGTAACACCACTCTATTGTAACACCACCCTAAAATGTACCACTATAATGGAACACCACTATAATGGAACCCTAAACTATCCTGAGTAACACTTCCCCATTGGTTGCACTTGGTAACACTTATGGGCTGACATATGATGATTACACCGGGACTACAAAGTACACTGCCAACAAGGAGATGCTAACACAGGATGAAATACGCTGCCACCATCTGCCTTTGACCATTGAAACTATATCAAGCAACGAGGCAAGAAACATTGCTTGACTTGGAGAGTACTTTCTATGACTGTCATTAATTATGAAAACGGTTGTCAGCCACTATATCCAAAAGGCTAAGAGGATTCAACAATTGACACAGACGGGAAATTTAACGAGTTTATTGAGACCAAAATTATGTCAATCACTACTTATAAATGCTACACTAACACTGGCAAAAAGTTAAGAAATTTGGACATGGAACAAAAACTCAGAGATCACACACATTACCTTAAGCTATCTCTCTCCCGGGCTGAGATGTTCTTCACAGCCCCGCTTTCGATCCCGGTGTACCGCCCTCTCCCCTTCCTATGTTCCTACAGGCCCTCTATATACAACCCCCCACAGGGGGGAGGGGGAGATCTGCTGTTGCTACCCACCAAAAGTGTACAAACACTCAAGAAATATTTCAATAAGCTTGTTTGACATTCACCATACACTCTTCAAGAGAGGAGTTATTAATTACGTGTGTGACTGACCTCTGACCTGGCCAAAAGGGGGAGATCCAGGGATGTTTACACATAAGAATCTGGAGTTTAATTTCCTTGCATGAAATATTACATACTTGAAACTATGCTGACTAAGACTAACCCAGGAATTTTTAATCAATATACAAGATAAACCGGAGGTCATCTGGGCTGACCTCTTGGAGAAGACTTCCCTGGGTGTGAACTCTAAGGGGGGGGGGGTCCTGGGTGTTACAGCTCCCTTTCCCCGGAGTTAAGACAAAATCGGGTGTATGATAATTAAGCACAATTTTGTCTTATCCTAACTCATCCAAAATACCACAACTAACCCTAAAAAGAAAAAAAAAAATTGCCAGTGACATAATGATAAAAGTAAGCTAACTAAATTAACATGAAGCAAAGTACATTATACAGTTATACTGCAGTAAGAACAAAACATAAATGTATAATGAAAGAAACAAAAGTACAAAAAAAATCTTGGCAAAAGTACAAGCAATGATACCGTCACACATGATACGATTCCGATATCCTAATATGACAATAAAGTATCAATGAAAAAAACAAATCCCACCGCTGCCACCATTGTAACACCACTCTATTGTAACACCACCCTAAAATGTACCACTATAATGGAACACCACTATAATGGAACCCTAAACTATCCTGAGTAACACTTCCCCATTGGTTGCACTTGGTAACACTTATGGGCTGACATATGATGATTACACCGGGACTACAAAGTACACTGCCAACAAGGAGATGCTAACACAGGATGAAATACGCTGCCACCATCTGCCTTTGACCATTGAAACTATATCAAGCAACGAGGCAAGAAACATTGCTTGACTTGGAGAGTACTTTCTATGACTGTCATTAATTATGAAAACGGTTGTCAGCCACTATATCCAAAAGGCTAAGAGGATTCAACAATTGACACAGACGGGAAATTTAACGAGTTTATTGAGACCAAAATTATGTCAATCACTACTTATAAATGCTACACTAACACTGGCAAAAAGTTAAGAAATTTGGACATGGAACAAAAACTCAGAGATCACACACATTACCTTAAGCTATCTCTCTCCCAGGCTGAGATGTTCTTCACAGCCCCGCTTTCGATCCCGGTGTACCGCCCTCTCCCCTTCCTATGTTCCTACAGGCCCTCTATATACAACCCCCCACAGGGGGGAGGGGGGAGATCTGCTGTTGCTACCCACCAAAAGTGTACAAACACTCAAGAAATATTTCAATAAGCTTGTTTGACATTCACCATACACTCTTCAAGAGAGGAGTTATTAATTACGTGTGTGACTGACCTCTGACCTGGCCAAAAGGGGGAGATCCAGGGATGTTTACACATAAGAATCTGGAGTTTAATTTCCTTGCATGAAATATTACATACTTGAAACTATGCTGACTAAGACTAACCCAGGAATTTTTAATCAATATACAAGATAAACCGGAGGTCATCTGGGCTGACCTCTTGGAGAAGACTTCCCTGGGTGTGAACTCTAAGGGGGGGGGGGGTCCTGGGTGTTACACTATACCCACACAATACACACACCATACATACACCATACCCACACTATACATACACCATACCCACACTATACATACACCATACCCACACTATACATACACCATACCCACACTGTACATACACCATACCCACACTATACCCACACAATACACACACCATACATACACCATACCCACACTATACATACACCATACCCACACTATACCCACACAATACACACACCATACATACACCATACCCACACTATACATACACCATACCCACACTATACATACATCATACCCACACTATACACCCACTGTACACCATAAGCACCCAGGGTTATAAATTATATCATGATTTCCATGCCTTGAAATAATAGTTTAAAATATGTAATATATATATATATATATATATATATATATATATATATATATATATATATATATATATATATATATATATATATACTATAAAGTGTATATTTTTATATATAAAGTGTATATATATATATATATATATATATATATATATATATAAAACCCTTGGATATACATAAGACCTTAGTAAACTTGGATTTTGTCATACTGGGTCCTAAAGTTTGGATAGAAGAGTTTACCCATAAGTTAAAGTTTTCTCTTATAGGATAGGGAGAAAATCCTAAATATTTGATGGTACACTTAAAAAGAATTGTGTAGGAGCTTGTCCTATGCTCTGCAAACACAGGTAATTAATGACGTGTAATAACAAGTAATTATCAAAAGAAGGCACCAAGCCGGGACGTAGCACCATCAAATGTGCAGGATATTCGAAAGGTGCTAAATATCACTAATGATGTGAATACGAGAATAAAAGCACATAAGGTGAACAATAAGAAAGGTATCTGATTCACCAAGAATTGTATCCAGGAACAAGTTACTGCAAATTTTGTCGGGAAGCAAGACAAACGCACGTCCTGGAAGTCTTGACATTCAACAAGGATATGCATGACAATAAGAGGGACAGTTCAGTTTGGATAATAAGGAGGAGGGTGGCGCTCCGTTAAGTGCCCGTGAGTTAAACTTGTATGGCCAAGACATAACCTCGCCAGAGCCAGTTCCCACCGCCGGTTACGGTGGTATTAGGAAGGCCATGGGGGCACACTACCTTTGAGATCATGCAGTTTCTTACCAGTAACAGAAGACCAGTGACTCTGCCAATGGGCAAGGATTGAAGAATGAATAACTGGGTAGAAGTCGGAATAAGGATAACCTTTACAGGAGATGGGAGAAGAGCGAATAGACCCCTTAGCTCCTTAGTGGCAGCGTCCGCACGCTCATTTAAGAACACACCAATATGACTGGGAATCCAGCAAACTCCACTGTCTTAAATCTGCTGGAGGTAGAAACAGCCAATGTTGAATTTCGACTACCACAGGATGGACTGGATTGAAGGACTCCAGAGCCATGAAGGCATTGTGAGAATCAACGACAACAAACGAAGATTGACAGCGAGAAAGCATTTGATGAAGAGTGTACAAACTAGCATAAAGTTCTGCCGTGAAGATCCTAGTCTCTGGAGACAGGCGACACATATAGGTGTGGTTAAGAAAACAAAGTAGTCTACACCTCTACAAGTAGCCTACGAGCGTAACCCGGTATGGTGCAGAGCATCAAGACGGCGATGAGTAGAAGAGCCAGACGAGTAAGCAAGACAATCATAATCAAGTTTAGACAGCACAAGAGAGGAGTGTAAAGAGAGGAGCGCGTATATATCAGCTCCCCAGGAAGTATGGGACAAGACCTTAAGTAAGTTAAGGACCTTAGAGCATTCAACTCTGAGGTAAGAGATATGGAGCGACCAAGACAAACGAGCGTCAATGATTAACCCCAAAAGCTTAGCAGAATCTGTGTACAAAAGGGGATTACCATAAAGCGACAAAGGGGGATGAAGAATGACCTGCTTCCAAAAAAAGTCATAGCACAAGTTTTAGTTGTAGAGAACTAAATGCCATGATTGGAGGCCTAGGACGACACGGCATCAGTCGCAAGTTGAAGCCGCCGTTGGAGGAAAGGTGAGCCATCACTGCGACAACAAAGATTAAGATCGTCAACATAGAGAGCTGAGAACATGCCAAAGGGAAGGGAGGAAAGAGGAACATTGAGGGCAACCAGAAAAAAGAGTAGTGCTCAGAACACTACCTTGAGGTATACCTTCATATTGCCGAAAGGAGACAGAGAGAGCGGCACCAAGCCTCACTCTAAAGGAAAGACTTGAGAGGAAGCTTTGGAAGTAGAGAGGGAGATTACCATGAAGTCCAAAA